CTGAGCTGAGTGAATGTGCCATGAGGAAGTGGAGCAAGCTGTACAGAGCCTTAGAACAGGTAGGGTAAACAACATAGAAACAATTTTACCACATAATTACTGTAACCTCAGCTTCGGCTAAAACTTATAATATTTCAGGCAATAATAGCCAACATCGTGGAGTACTAGTGAGATTGCCGATGGCTCGTCGAGAAGTATAAACAGAACAAAGGTTTCAAAAAATGAATATTTTTTCACTGATTTTCTACTTTTTGACTGAATCTCTATAAATGATTGATTTCGCTGGCCGTTTCCTGTACGTGACACCCACCTTCAAATCGAGGACCTCCTTTTTGATGGTCGCATTTCCGTCAGAAACCAATGTGCCGATTTTGGCGTTGAGCCGCAAATTCTGAATCGCTCATTGTTTGCAATCAATAAATCAATTGTCCATGCAGTCTATAACCCATTTTCACGGCACAAAAATTATTGATGGAATAAAGACGGTACCTATAATTCCAGTTTGTGATCATGGCTGGCCTCTTCCTATCAAAATCTATCAAAAAAAAAGCCTTAAATTGTGCTATAAATCAGGATCAAGGGTCCGTCTGGCTAAATGTCTCCCTTGTGAGTCTGACAGGGATGTTGTATTTTAACGATTTCAAAAAGTGGACCGTTTTCATCGATTTGAGGTCAGAGACCTACAAACAAAACATAACTCAAATTTGAGGTCGGAAATAAATTTTTGGAGAACTTGGGAAACCTTTCCTCAAATTTTGCAGAATTTTTGAAATGTTAATAAAAATCCCCGTTTCAATAGGCTTATAAGAAGGCACATGCGAGTCCCTTGTCGGTTACAGACTCAGATTTTCGGTTAAGGTGTGGGATGTAGGTCAGGTTGAGCCAGGTCCATCAGTTCTATAGGTTGCTTCATTGTTGAGGGGGCTGGGCCCTTATATTCGAAATCGGACAGACATTACGGTTAACCCTGCTGCAAACTGAACCCACCAGTCCGAATTGTAAGGGTACGCCCTGAAGCGCCTCAACCCAGTGTACCATCACTACCCCTTTAATGGATCCGTATTCAGTGAGGTCCATTTGGTTTCGAGATAAATAAAATTCCCTGAGCAAACCACTCAAATGACTCACACATAGTTGTGCGTCGGTTAGTTCTCGCTTCAAGTTTGTTGATGAGTGCCACCCGTGAGTCACCACAACTGCTGGCGCTGCTCGCACCGCTGTACATGACCACTTGGTCCTGCACAGAAACGATCTGCAATGATATGATGTGACCTGACGAAGGATTTCATTCTCGTTGTGTCTCTATCGATGACATGTCGTCCATCAACGATGTTCCACTTTTTCACACCGGTTTAACACTGATCACTATCGTTATCACTGCAAACATGGGATGATGCGATATAGAGAATAAAGCGCAGCGTCAGGTGCTTCAATAAGGATGGGGCGGGAAAGGCGTTCTTGTTATTAGGAGACTAAGGCGAGGCAGAGTATGAGAATTGCGTCCGAGCGAGGGAAGAAAAGGAAGCCGGGTGCTCGAAAACTCTCGATAAGTCGAAAACCCCTTTCTGCACCGCAAGCTCGCTCACTCACTTCAGCTGCATGTAGGCTTACAATTAGGATAAGTCGTAATCCTTGGCAGCATGTTGTGGAAGTCACGGGACAAAGCACGAACCGTCTGCAGAAGAGATCACATAAACACCATGAAGAGATTGCTGTTCTAGAATTGCACACCTTTTCATAGACGTTATACCTCTGAACGTCGTTTTTTGTGAGATGTCTGAAGGAAAGGACTACTATAAGCCCAAGGAAGGGGCTAAGGAGGGGGGAGAGGGAAGTGGACGGAACTTGGGGTGAGGTCTACTTTCCAGAAATGGATGCCATAGCCAGAGTCGAATATGGTGATTGTAAATAGAGTAAGTCGTAGCTGAGAAGCAATTCAACCATTGAATAAAATTGAAGAGGAGTATGAGGCGCATTGGTTGGTGGCTGATGCCACGCTACTACACGCGTGCTCACTATTGAGCGCAAAAAGATGCCTTCAATTAGTTATTGCATCAATTATTTAGAAAAAGGTCCCTTTTTTAGAGAGGAGTTGATGATGTGAGGTTAGCCGGAGGTTGGGCGGTGCGGGAGTGGACGGGTAGGTGTAGCACATTCAGCCTATTCGCACGTTCAGTGACTGCCCTTCACTCACCCCGTAGACTGGCTACATCCGCCTGCAGTTCGAAGATAACCTAGCTATTTCTGAGAAAAAATGAATGAATGAAGCCCTTACTTGATAGACACGGAGAAAAATGAGAATAGGTGGTGAGCAAACTCTGGCATGATAACTTCCGAGGAAAATCTCTGTAATATTCGGAGTATGTAATTGCACGGATAGTATGGGGGAGGGCCAATAATTTCCCACCCCCCACCCCCCCCCCTCTTGAACGGTGATGCGCACGAATTTCGGGTGTCCACCAAGAGGCCCGTCGCGCGGCAAAGGAGACGCAGCGCGGCAAAGGACGAGTCGCAGCGCGTGCTGTGCGATATGAGACGTAGTATGGTACACTCTATTTAACCTGACGCCTAACCGCTACAGTATGCGCTGCGACTCGTCCTTTGCCGCGTCTGCGTCTCTTCCTTCGCCGCGCGACGAGCCTCTTGGGGGACACCCCGAAATTTGTTTTTGTTTCTTATAGTTATGACAAATTCAACGAAGGGAAAACTTCTCCGGGTCTTATTCATAGGGGGATGTGATAAACATTACTGCACTTACGCCTGAAAAATCCATTTTCCACAGGTGCGTGAACTATTCCGCTTTCGCTTTTACATCCTCCCCGGACATCCTTACCTAGCAAAAATTGAATCAATTTACGTGATGTACTGTAGCAACACATGCCCCCTTTTAAGTGAGACCTGTTTATTAAATTCTTATTTTTATTTATTTTTTATTTTCTCGCTTCAATCTAGAAAAAGATAAACATAAGCACTGAATTTCAAAACATTGAGGGCTGTTGGTAAGGCGAGTAAGTGAATATGGTAGAGAGGATTAATAAGCAGAATTGCAACAGTAAGAACAATAGACCGGTAAAGCGACCAGTTACCAATTACCGTATCGATTTTGTCTTTACCAACAAGTTATACAGAGAGAATTGGCGATGAAAGAAACACTGTACGATTGTCGTAAAAACGAGCACGTTATTTCATAGCCATATAAAAGCTCTAACGACCCTGAAAATCTACCGTAATCAGTAAGATCCTACCTGTGAACTGTCGCTGTCCTCTTCTGTAGACGTCGAAGCAATACTTTGTGACGGTGAACGCTAAAAAATCGAAAAATAGTGGTTTGGATGACATCACCAGTCAATATCACTGTGACAAATGGGAATTATCATCAGCTGGTATCAATCGATCGGGTGATATCGATCAAGTAAATCAGTGATAATGACCAAGCAGTAAATCGATTAAAGTTGAAGGTCATATGCGGTATAAAGACAAAATATCAAGTGACGTCACTATTTTAGTAAGCAATAAATTCACTAAAAAGTAAAAAGGCTCAATCAATAAAAACAATCAATGGAGTGGCAACGAGTGCCATACGCAATCATCAGAACCCGTTCTCTGAGTGATCATTGCTATGAATATAAAGATTGTTACTAAAGTGCACTACTGAAAGATTCCGATAAATCAATCGATCGATATCTTACCTTCATTGTCGATTGTTGCTGCTCTGCTCGCATGACAGAGTCCTGCTTGGCGCTTACCTTAACATGCATTGATGATGGCGGAACCGGTTATCATTAGAGAAATCAAGAGAGTCTGATTCGCCGAGCACATTATGACGTTTTTACTACCTTGCATGAAATTGTAAAATTGTTATAGATCTTCATTATATTTGCTCTATGAATCCAGCAGCCAGGTTTGTCCGCACTGCAGACTTCACAGCATAATTGACGACGATTCCAAAAAATCTGATAGTTACTGGCAGCTGATAGTTGATATACTATACTTGTAAATAGTGCATTGAGTGAAATACAACTGCGATCGGCTAATTACCTCTCGGCCGAAAAACATTCCATTTTATGAAGGCCGTCGTCAGTTGTGTTGTGAAGTCCGCAGTGCAGATACACCTGCCGCCGGATACGAAGAGTGTATTACACAATAATTCCATATGTCATACATGGCCATATGGCCATATGTATGTCATACATTATACGTGGCCGCATTGTGAAGAGTTAGTAAACCCAGAAATTCGTAAAAAAATAAAATGATGACTCAATGAATTAAAAAGTTTCAGAGGAAAAATGATGATCACGAGCGGGTCTAAGGTGATTATGGGGGGCATGGTGGTGAAGAATATGCAGAATATTCCTGACCATGAAAAGATGCTTAGTTTCGCATTATTTTAGTCCCTTGTTGCACAAGCAAAATTATTCCTCCACCCTGAATCTTACTCCTGCCAAAAATGAGATTGCTGGGACGAACTAATGCACCGGGATGCGCCCTCCAACAAGTGTTGCGCCTGAGTTACCAATAAAGTGGAATACAAAATCAGAGTTTCTCAACCTTCTCTTTCTCCGGTCCCTTGAAACGCTCGCCCGGCTGACATAATACTCTCAAAACACATTAAGACAAGAAGAGTGCGAAGTGGCGGGAGGGGCGAGGGGGCGGGAGTAGGCGTTCAATGGCGCCGCTTTTCCACCGCGCGACGTATTCGATGGGGCGTTCAAACTCATACGAACTACTCCGTCCGGGTTGGCGATACCTCTAGGATCTCGCCCGTTAAGAGAAACAACTAATTGGGATAGGGCTTGAACTCCACACACCACTCGTGTTAGAGCCACTCCAGCACTCAAAATGCAAACCTCCGCACTCTTGAAGGATTGCATTGCCCCTCGATTGGCGTAGCCCCGAAGAGATTTAGAGTTACCCTGTCGTAAATAGGAGAACAGCTTGAAACATCGAATGCTGAAGTATCTTTTTTTCAAAGAGAGTATGTAGTGAAAAGAATGGTGAGAGGGAGGATGCTATCTTCGCCGTGGTTGTTATCTGCTAGAATGAATCTCCTGTGCTTTGAGAAACAAACGTCGAGCCGCATTTCAGCGGGCTAGAGGCAGTTTGATTGGGACGAGTTGGCAGGCTTACAGAAGAGATAATGACGGACAGAGTTGTCGGAAATGCAACGCAAGGAAAGGATGGATTTCCGGTTCCAACTGCGTCTTCCTTCCCTCCCACATGCCCCATGCTCAGAGGAATTTCCCGAAAGCGAAGCCGATGAGTAGATGTGTGCCACCGAGACGCGCTCGGGAACAGCTTGAAGGTAGCTTCATGGCCATGTATTGGCATCACTGTTACGTTACCGGAAGGATTATGATCATGGTTTCAGAGCGAGACGGAATTGCGCTAGAGACTGTCGCTGGAGTGCCGGACCCTACGAGGCGCATCACTCCTTCTCACGCTCTGATCTGGCCTCTCTTTCATTAACTGAACATGCCGCTTCAGTGCCGTGATATCTCTGTGCCTTTTTGCAGCTCCTGTTCTAAACAAAAATCAGCCCTAAAATTTTTCAGATGATTCTATCAAGCATAAACTCATGCGCTAATTGATCTGTCCTCCCGAACATGTGAGAAGCATTTTGGAAAATAAAAGTGCTCGAATAAAGCAAATAAGAACGACACTAGAGTGATCCACCTTCGTCACCACTCACTGCGTCCGGCGCGGGTCACGCTTAAACCATTCGCGTAGTACGTCGGACGTCAGGAAGGTCAGCAAAGGATTGTGCGACCATGCCGCAGATGAACAAACGAGGTATAAAGATTTGGAAAGCTGGTTTCCTTCCAAGTGCTGGTCGCAATATATAGAGTGCCGAAAAGGGCAGAAATGAGCGAGATTTACGGAAAATGAACCAGAAAAGAACATTTGTCCTTGACGAGTTCACATTGCTTCAAACAACGCGGATTCCAGATCTGATTGATGACAGATTTTAGCCTTTTCACAAATTCCACATCTGCAAGGTTACTCGTAAATAAACGGCGCACTTGTGTCTGAACGGCACTTCGCGAAAAAGATTACAGTCAGAAATTCGCGGAAACATGAGAATTGTCTATCTCGCATGAGAACATCGGTGTGGAGTTCATTGTCAATGTACGTGCGCTGTGGCTGCAAAAATGGCAGCAGGGCGCAGCGCTCATGCTACGGATTCGTTCTCTGGATCCACGCTCCTCGAGCTCACGTTAATACACCAAGTTACATAACTATTCAGGATAGTAAAACGAAGAGGAAGGAAGGAGAAACCAACTGAAAGGTACAAAAAGGACTTTACGTCCAAAAGTGGCGGGGATCTTTTTTAAAAGTGGCGGAGTCATGCATAAATTCAGATGATTTTCTCAACGTAAATGATGACTTTCTTAGAAGTGAAGATGTAGCGAACGATTTGCAGCAGCTACGCCTCAGTACCCTTGCATTGTAGCACCTGTTTGGTGGATACCAAAATTAAGAGCTCCGTTCACATGCAGTAGCTCATTTCGCTCTTCTAGCCTGCAGCAGAATCAACCGTAAACATTCGTGTGATATGAAGGATGGTTGCATCTGTGGCTTCGGATGGGACACATCGGGTCGATTCGGGGGTTGCGGGGCCAAGGTGACTTTTGGTTAAACGGGGAATCGTAAACGGAAGGTCATAGTATAAGGGTGTGTGTATGGTCGATATGAGATGGGTTTTTACCAGTTCAGCAAAATTTCACAAATATATCAAGATAAACTATAGCAACATTGGTTGCGATTTTGCTCATTGATGCAAGCTACCCATCCTCTTCGCCCGTCCTCTAGCTCGGGCGCCGTTTCAGAAGCGAAGAAGGCGAGAGGTCTATGCTGTGTGCGCTGTTCTCAGAATTGCCTACTAAGGAACAGCCAACAGATGTCGAGAGCTTTAGTTCGGGTTAGAGGATTTAGGTGCTATTGGGGTCCTCCAGAGTTGATGAGTGATGGTGAGGTGAGTCGGGTAGGGTCGCAGTCAGACCCCTCAAAGGAGGAGGGAAGTGTGTCGCAAAATCTTGGAAAAGTGCGAACGCGATGGGTGGCCCTACCTGGAACCCTTCGGGTATGGAAGACATCAGTTGGTCGGGGCAAGATTAGATCATACGCTATGCACAAATGGAATGCGGCGTCTTCAGCCATATCCGCCGCAGCAACACTCATTAAACCGCCATAAAGATAGAAATTAAAGATAAAGGTATGAGAAGATAAAGCTCTCGGCATTTCCAGGCATAGTGTGGTATGCGCCGCGCACTCTACTTCAGTACAGAATGGCAGGGGCCTTTGATTGCCTCCGCACAAAGACTTCAAGGTCCCACCCATGTACAAGTGAGTGTTGCTATTACCTCAGTCTTATTACCTCAAGAACCAATTGACCGACTCTTTGGATGGGAGATTTGCTAGGACTGAGCGATAATGCGGACCATCTAGGATGGCATTTGGTGTCAGTCATCTACGTGCCGGAAAAATATGGAAAATAAAAGCAAATTAAACGTTTTGCACTAGCCGTTCCCTACATGAATAACCCGGCCCATGATCGGGTATGCCGTGGAATGCCGTGGTGACGAATGCCCGTAGGACTTCCCGTCACCAGTATGGTCAGTTTGGAGACGAAATGATCTTTTCTTTCCTTGAGCATTACAACTTTGGTAGAATGGCTAGTAGAACGAGAACATAGAACAAAGGAACCAGCTTGGAAGACCACCCGGGAGCTAACCATTAGTCCGTGTCTACTTTGGTCATCACAGAGGAAATAGGAATCTCCAGTCCGGCTAGAAATGGCTGAGGAAGTGAAAAAACAAAGAAGGCTCCACTTATCTTGAGCGGTCGACTTGAATCAAAGGCCGTTGTGGATGACATAAAGAACTGGATCATGACCGTCTACACATACGGGCATTTAGAGAAAATGCTTATCATTGCGTGTCAGATTCGACGGCGGCGGCTAATCATTGGACTAGCCGCAAAGGCCGTTTATGATCATGGGGAAATAGGGTTGTGCGATGTGGGAGTTGAACCGAAATCCTCGTCATACCATACTCTGCAAGTTTTCGAAGCCCGTAAACCCTGCAACCTTTGAGCACAGAGGTGCATTATGTTGTTTATTTAGTATTTATTCAGTGTTGATTTGGTGTTCACCTTTTCTACCTCGTGTGTAGAGCGCGTCATTAGCGCATAAATAAATAAATAATTAAATAATTAATTAAATAATTGAATTATAAAACAAGCACGATAATAGTGATAATACGAGTTCAACAGGCTTTATCAGCGCATTCTCGATGCGCTGATAGAAGGTTGATAAACTATTTACGATTATCCCTCCCTTATTTATTTGTTTATTTATTCAAATGTCAAGTTGTTCATTCCAGTACTCTCAAATTTGGGCTAAGTAATCAGCACGCATGTAGAATCAAACGCAGAAATGAAGGGAATGGACTAAGAAGTCTCACAAGGGCTCATCATTTGGAAAAAAAAATGGAAAGCGGCTGCTGGATTGAAAACCTTGTATTCCCCTGAAGGACATGGTGAAAGACTCCTTCCTGAGATGCGCCATGCACTTCACCTTGAATCAAAATCGCGTAGCATTTGACTATGATCAATACTACGTTGCGCCTTCAAATCACCTATTTTACTTGAGTTTCTTTGCACGAGTGCGTTGCAGTTCTCCTTCTCGGGTCACTCATCCAAAATTAAGACACCGCTCATTTGCTCGAAGCAAGCCTAGGACCAAGCCTATGTAGGCCCT